GGCCAAGACTATGATAATCTTGATCTTTTCTGATTTTTTTTTATTATCTGAACATGCTAAATGCTGGTTTGCTTGCTGCCCTAAAGCCTTGGGAAAGGTTGAATCTGGATTTAGTGTTCAAGGGCGTTCTTCTTTGTTTACACAGGGGTGAAGATGTTTGTTTAAAAGGGATGTGAACCAATAGTCCAACTTCAGATTTCCCATAAAATCTGTAAAATTACCCAGATGGTAAATGATGTTTTATATATATGTGCGTATATATATATATTATATTTTATATATATTTTTTCAATATGAATATTTTTATTAGGCCAGATGGTATCAGCATGAATTGCTGAATATTTCTGTTCCTTATTAAATCATCTTCTGTCTAAGCCACGCTTAGGACATAATTTGGAAAACACTCAAGGAATCACTGAAGGACAACACAAAAATCCCAGACGCCAGATGCAGGGGCACTAGCTGTGTGAGGCCCAGGAAGGTCTCGGCAGCGCCTGCATGGCCCTTCCTTAGGACTCCCGCCATGAAGCTTAAGTAGATACTGTTGGAACAGGGTACTTGGCAGCCCCTGCGTCCCTCTCCGTCCCTCAACTCTTCTTTGCATTTTGCATGAAGAACATTTCTCCCTCCTTGTGGTAGTGGGTAGGGGTTGTAGAGTGGATGAAACCATGGGTCTCAGACTGCCAGGCAGAAGTGCCAGTGCCTGGGGCTGAAGAGAAATTACAGGGATAGGGAGCTTGGCTTGCATGCTGCCTACCCACCTATCCCTGGTACTGCCAGGAGTGATCCCTGAGCACTGAGCCGGGAGAACGCCTGAGCACTACTGGGTGTGGCCCAGAAATAAAACAAAGAAGTGTCGTGTCTGCTTTTCCCTACAGCGGGTGCTGGCACTGCGGGGAGATGGGTCCCCTGTCGAGCCCGGGCTGTACAGGCCACTGGCTCCAAAGCTTGGAAACTGCTCCCTGCCCATCCACTCAGTACAGTCTCTTCCTGCCAGCGGGTCTGGAGTGACCCAAGTCACATTTTCAGCATAAAGCTTAGAGTGTTTTCTTTAGACATCGGTTCTCCTACAAGGTTTCCAAAACTTGCTGAACGTCTCTATAAACGTGACAAGAAATGCATGTGGTCACATTGTAAATTTGGCCAAAATGCCTGCATTTAAAGAAATCACCGGAGTTAAAGCTCGACTTAAAGGCCTCTTGTAGCAGGAATGAATGTGATAAATTGGAACTAAAAAATACAGAGACCACCTCTGAACACCTGGGACACCCAGTTTGCTCCCAGTGTGATCTCATTAGATGCTGGAGCACTTAGCTGCAGTCCCTTGAAGCAACTTTTACTGGCAGCCCTGGTGGTGACCGAAAGCTCTGTGGTACGGACCGCTCTCCCTTCAGTTCTATTTCACATCAGATCACAAGAACAGGATGAGTGGTTGCTCAGAGCTGATCCAAAGGTTGCTTCCTGTCTTCTTTTTCCTGCTTGTTGATAGGGTACATGGAGGTGTCTTTCTCTGTTCTTGGTAGAGCATTTAGTCTTTACTTGAATTGATTTGGAGCCGTGCATTAAAGGGTAGGTAGTCTTTCAGGAACTAAGTCACAGTTAAGTGTGTGTATGTATATAGAAACAAAAAGTCATTTGGTTTTATTTCCAACATGACGTTGGATATACCTTACTAGTTCATTTAGACATGCCCTAAAGAGGAACCAAGTAGCTTTGTTGAAAAGTATTTTATAATATCACTGGATACGACCACACCTTAGATGTTACCCACTGGCCTGAAGTTTGAGCTCACTCATACAGAGAGGTAGGGCCCGCCTCTTGTCAGCACACATAATATTGTGCATATACTTTACATTTCTTTCCCGCATCTCATTTGAGCCTCCAGTATCCATACACTAAGGGCAAGATGAAGCCATTGTACTTATCATGTAGCTAAATCATCTGAACTCACTCAACATATCCCATCTAGTTAAGGGAAAGAGACCAATTCTTGAAGGGATTTTATCACTGGTAATTGGTAAATTCCATTAGAATTTTTCTCTGGCTGGATAGATAATAAATGAATTAAGCCACTGGCCTTGAAAAAGGCCGGCCAGGGTTTTATCCCCAGCACCCAGTGTGATCCCCAAGGCCAGCCAGGAGTGCAGAGCCCTGAGTGCAGAGCCAGGAGTAAGCTCTGAGCACTGTTGGGTGTGTCCCCACCCAAAAAAAAATTTTTTTTGACCAACTATAGAACTAAGTTCTAGGGATACTGTGAATACATTTTTGAGCACGTGTTTCCAGCATGAACTTATTCCGGGCTATTTCAATTCTTCAGGAAAAACTCAAAACTTGAACATGGGGTGTGAGGGGTCAGGGAGTGCTTGTATGTGTGGGGCCTTGAGTCAGAGCTCCAACGCCACTGGGTGTGACCCTGGTCACCATGGCACTACTTTGCCCAAACATGGAACTATCTGGCTCAGTCATGTAGCACCAGGCATGGCATCCAGGGCCTCCTGATTTGGGAGCTCCCTACCACCATCTCTAAGCTCCAAAAAAAAACCACTTTATCTTGGGATCTTTCAACAAAGTACTGCAGACACACAGTGATGGGGAAAGAACAGAGTAGCCCCCAGGTGCAGAACTGGTATGGGGGGGAGGAGTCTCTTCTGCTGCATTTCTGATAAGCCAGGTGCACATTCCACCTCCATTTTTGAGAGGGCTGGGAATAGGTCCCGCTATTTTATAGACACACATTTCATTGAGGTGGTGTGAGCGTCAGCCCATTTATTTGAGCATCAGTTCAGCCTAAGTGATAGTACAGTGGATAGGATTCTTGCCTTGCACATGGCTGACCCGGGTTCAATCCCCATATGATCTCCCAGGCTCACCAGGAGTGACTCCTGAGCACAGAGCTCAAAGCAATCCCTGAGCATCGCCAGGTATAGTCCAAACCAAGGGGCAGAGGGTGGGGAGGGGAATCTATCTTCCATGTTTCCGTGGGGCTATATTTTTGTAGGTGAGTTACCTATTTCTTAGGAAAGAACCTAGTGGGAAGGGCCATAGTGATAGCACAGTGGGTAGGACATTTACCTTGCATGCAGCCAACCGGGGATTTGATCCCCGGCATCCCATAGGGTGCCCTGAGCACCTCCAGGAATAGTTCTTGAGTGCGGAGCCAGGAGTAACCCCGGAGCATCGCCAAATGTGACCCAAAAAGTAAAAAAGAAACAAGAAGAAGACTAATAACCTAGTGGGAAATACTCTTTTTCAAACAATTATTTTTGGTTTGGGGGCCACACTTGGCTGTGCTCAGGGTAATCCCTGGCTCTGAGCTCAGGATTGTTCCTGGAACGCTGGGAGACGAAGGATCAAACCTAGGTCAGCGGCGTGCAAGACATGCTCCTTACCCACTCTACAACGATCTCTCTGGCCACTTTTTCAGCTCTCAAATAGACAGTACACCGCCTCTTTCTTCACCCCCTTGGCACAAGATTCCTATTAACCAGAACTTTTCTTTATTGACGTGAGCCACGGAGACAAGTGTGGCAAAAAATAATAGGGGAAGGGGATTTTCTTGATAACCTTTCAGTATCAATATTGCAAACCACTCTGCCCAAAAGTGGGCGGGGGGGGGGGGGAGAGAGAGAGAGAGAGAGAGTGAAAAGAAGAAAAGAAAAGCTCCTGCAAAAGAGTGGGGGGGGGGTGATGGGAGGGAACCTGGGGACACTGGTGGTGCTGGGGAATGTACTCTGTTGGAAGGATGAGTTTGGAATGCTGTATGAAATCCAATCCAAAACTGTTGAAATCCAATCATGAGCTGCTTTGTAAGGCTCTATCACGGGGATTCAATAAAAAAAAAGGTTTATAAAAAATAATTAGCAAGGAATCCCAAAGTGAAAGAGAACCCAAAGAGGTGGAGCACATATGTTGCATGCAAAAGTCCCAAATTTGATCCCTGGCACTGTATGGTCCCCCGCACAACATAAGAAGTGCCCCTTCCTCCTCTTCCCGCTCCCCCCTCCCCCCATGCCAAGAATGGTGCTGGGACTGTAGAGACATTTTCATGCATGTTTGAGTCCAACACCACATATAATCCCCAGAGCACAGCCAGGTATGTGGCCCAAAAACAAAAAGAACAGTGCTGTTTACAATGGCCAGGTTGGCAACTTAACTCCCCAACTCACCCCAACACCCTGTAAACTGGATATTTGCTGTGCTCAGCAAGCTTAAGAGAAAAAAAAATTCCAAACCCATATTTCTAATTCCATTTCTCATAATAAACTAGTGGCTTGAAGTACCTGTCTTGATTTCTGTGGCATGGGAGTGATGGGTTGAATTTTTGGCTTTCTTTTTCTGGTTTTTGAGTCACACCTGGTGGTGCTCAGGGAGCACTCCTGGTAGTGCTTTGGGGATTGGAAGTGATGCCAGGGGTTCGTTCACTTGCTTCAGCTCTGTGCAAGGCTTACCTTACCTGCTGCACTCTCTCTGCAGCCCTGATTTCATTAAAGTATGGGATTTTTTTAAGTTATATTTTGGGTCACACCTGGTTACTCAAGGTTACTCCTAGCTCTCCATTCAGGAATTACTCATGATAGGCTGGGGGAACTTATGGGATGCGGGGGATTGGAACCTAGGTTGGATGCATTCAAGGCATGCAAGGCAAGCACCTTACCTGCTGTATTCTCTCTCCAGTCCCATTACAGGATTTCTTTTCATTAAAGAAGCATCATTTGTTAATTTGCTCTTTAGTGAACTCTACCATCATCCTGTCATTAATTATCCAATTAATAAGTCACCAGAATGGATGGCTGTATTTGTGGGTTTGTTGTTGTTTTAATGAATAGATTCATTGAATGGGATTAAGTGTGCCATTGCAGAACATTGCAACTGTGTTTTCATTCAGATTGTTTGTAATTTTCCCAGCCCCCACCACCACAATGGCATGAGGTGAATTATGTGGTATCTACTATGTTTAAAACTCTCTTAACTTAAAAGTCTCTTCCTGCTTTTAATCATAGGACATGGATTTGATTGACATACTTTGGAGGCAAGATATAGATCTTGGAGTAAGTCGAGAAGTATTTGACTTCAGTCTGCGACGAAAGGAGCATGAGTTGGAAAAACAGAAAAAACTTGAAAAGGAAAGACAAGAACAGCTGCAAAAGGAGCAAGAGAAAGCCTTTTTTGCTCAGTTACAGTTAGATGAGGAAACAGGAGAATTCCTTCCAATTGAGCCAGCCCAGCACATCCCTTCAGAAACCAGTGGATCTGCCAACTACTCCCAGGTAGTTTACTCATTCTTGGGAAAGGGGACTCATGAAGGTGCGAGGAGATAGAATACTCATGTGTAGGGCCCTGCTTTTTGCCTTTAATTATGTTTTCATGACATTATCCAGTCAACCTGCCAGCCTCACCCTCCTGATGAATTCAGTGCCTGACTTAGGCAGCACTGTGAGGAGGAGGACAGAACTACACAAAAGAGCTTTGTAAGCCGCAGAAGCACCACAGAAGAATCCAACCACAGTAAGAACTATAGCAGAACAGTAGGTGACTGAGGGTCACCGTGGTAGGCACTGTTCTAACAGCACCGTTGTGTATGAATTGATTTCATCAGTGGTGTGAATTAGGTGGCACTTTCCCTACTTTTGTCCAGAGATAAGGAATTGCGGGTGTTTTTGTGGACTTTTGTTTGGTTTTGCGGCCACACCAGTGGTACTCAGGGCTTACTACTGGTTCTGTGCTTGGGGTTCACTTTTGGCAGGGCTTACATGACCATATGAGGTGCTGGGAATTGAACCTGAGTTGGCCACATGCAAAGCAAATGCCCTGCCTATTGTAATATGGATCCAGCCCCCCAACCCCCCAAAAGAGAAGGAATTGAAGACCAAAGAGGTTAAATAGGAGCCAGAGAGATAGTATAGGAGGAAAGCCCTTGCATGTGACTGACCCTGGTTCAAATTCCTGACATCACATATGGTCCCTGAGCATGGCCAGGTCACTGGTGAACACAGAATAGCTCCTGAGTATGGCCAGGTGTGGCCCCCCTCCCAAAGGAGGTTAAATAACTTAGCCAGAGCAGTCAGGAAATCAGGCAGCAAGGATTGGAACCTAGGGAGTGTGGTTCAGTTGTGCCCTTAACTGCTGTACTAAGCTGATGTCTAAAATGCATAAAATACTTAATAGCAAACATTTTATTACCACTGAACGATTTTTCCTTACGTCTTTCCTTGCATCCAGGTTGACCACATTCCCAAACCAGATGCTCTCTATTTCAATGACTGCATGCAGCTTTTGGCAGAGACATTCCCGTTTGTAGACGACAATGAGGTATACTATTTTATTATCAGAGACCTACAAGAACAGCATGTCTTCATATACAGGGCCGTGTAGGTTCATTTTTTTAAAAATGAAAGGGAGGGATAGACTGATAGTACAGTGAGTAAGGCTCTTGCCTTGCATGTGGCTGACCCAGGTTCGATCCTGGCACTCCTTATGTGCCCCGCCAGGAGTGATTCCTAAGTGCAGAGCCAGGAGTAATCCCTGAGCATCTCCAGGTATGGCACAAAAACAAAAAAGAAAGAAAAAAAAATGTTAGGAAATTTTTGTCAAGGAAATTTTAGCCTTATAAATAACTTTATTTATTTTGGGCTTTTGGTACCAGCAGTACTTGGGGGCTACTCCCTGCTCAGTACTTGGTGGTTGCTCCTAGTGGTGCTTGAATCAAACCCAGAGATGGTGCATGCAGAGCATGTGCTCAGCCCTTTGAGCGATCTCTCCAACCTTAAATAACTTAAAAAGACAAAGTAATCATTGCTTGAAAGATAGCACAGAAGTTAAGGTGTTTGCCTTGCACACAACCAATCACCATTCTATACCTTGCACCGCATATGTTTCTCCAAGCACTGCCAGAAGTGATTTCTGAGCACAGCCAGGAGAAAACCCTGGCCACCTCTGGGTATGGCCCCAAAACAAAAGTGCCCTTCACAGTACAAAACTGGATAATGAGAAAGATAAGTTAATATAACCCTGGAATAGACAGTCGGATATCAGTTTTGGTGAATAAAGAGCAAATTGGTAATAAACCAAGATTTATAGCACTCGGTGTTACAGAGAAACATGCATTTTAAATCATAAAAATTGTTCTTGTTCATTTTGAACTTTACTTTTAAATGGATAAAAGAAACCGGTCCATGAATAAAACTAGAGTCAGGTACACAGGAAACAAAGATGTTTCATGATATAGAAACAAGGATTTTGAGTGTTTTTAAGCAGAGAAACACAGAACCACAGCCAGTCCCCACTTTAGGTATTATGATGGTACTTCCTAAGCATAATCTTCCACTGTTGCCTCATGAATTTTAGGTTTCTTCGACGACGTTTCAGTCACTTGTTCCTGATATTCCCAGCAATATAGAGAACCCCGTCTTCATCGCACCTAACCCAGCTCCAGCATCCGAAACCGATGTCCTTCTGCCCACCGTTTCTGATTTAAACAATATGCAGCAGGATATTGAGCAAGTGTGGGAGGAGCTATTATCCATTCCCGAATTACAGGTAACTCAGAATTAATATAATACCAGAGATGCTGTTTCATATTCAGGTCTTTAAATTAGTCATCCCAGTTATTTATTATGTATAAGCCACCTACTTATGGAATGGATCGGAAGATACTTTTCAATTAGTCATGAGAGCGACCCATATTCACCTGAGTGCACTTTTGTTAGTCAAATGGGCTTTGATGTCTTGAGGATAGATCAAGTTCTTAACCTGAAGTCTGATCTAGGAACTCTGAAAATAATAGAGGCTTAGCTAGAAATGCTTGCTGCAAATGGGAATTAGCTCTGAATTGCAAGGGAAAAAAAATAGAAGAAAATGGGGTGAAGAGACCATGAGCTAGAGAGGATCAGCTCTTAAAAAAACACTGAACTTTAACTCATATCATATTGACTTCTTTCCCACACAGTGTCTTAATATTCAAAATGACAACACCAGCACAGTTCCAAGTCCAGAAACCAAACTGGTGGAAATGAACAACAATTACCCCTTCTACTCCTCGGTTCCTTCACTGGAAAAGACAGCAGGTAACTGCAGTCCGCATTTCCTCGGTGCTTTTGAGGATTCTTTCAGTGGCATCCTCTCCACAGAGGAGCCCAGCCAGCTGACTGCGAACTCAGTTGATTCCGAGGCCCCTAGCAGCACCGATTTCGGTGACGAGTTTTATTCTGCCTTCGTCGCCGATCCCAGCACCAGCAGCAGTGTGCCCTTCTCTGCGACACTCAGCCAGTCCCTCTCTGAACTTCTGAATGAGCCCATTGATGTGTCCGATCTCTCGCTCTGTAAGGCTTTTAACCAGAATCACCCCGAAAGCACAGCAGAATTCAATGACTCTGACTCTGGCATTTCGCTGAACACAAGTCCTAGCCTGGCCTCTCCGGAACACTCGGTGGGCTCCTCCGTCTATGGAGATACTTCACTGGCCTTCAGTGATTCAGAAATGGAAGAGCCGGACAGCACACCTGGAAGCGTCAGGCAGAAAGGTCCTAAAACACAACCAGTGCCGTCTGCTGTGGATCCGGCCCCACCCCAGTCACCATCTCAGGGGCACAGTGCCCCCAGGCACGATGCCCAGTGTGAAAGCCCCCCCAAGAGAGAGCTGCCGGTAGGTCCTGGGTGCCGAAAAGCCCCATTCACCAAGGACAAGCATTCAAACCGCCTAGAGGCTCATCTCACGCGAGATGAGCTAAGGGCAAAAGCTCTCCAGATCCCATTCCCCGTAGAAAAAATCATTAACCTCCCCGTGGACGACTTCAATGAAATGATGTCGAAGGAGCAATTCAATGAGGCTCAGCTTGCACTGATTCGAGACATACGAAGGAGAGGTAAGAATAAAGTGGCGGCTCAGAATTGCAGGAAAAGAAAACTAGAAAATATAGTAGAACTAGAGCAAGATCTGGATCATTTAAAAGATGAGAAAGAAAAGTTGCTCAAAGAAAAAGGAGAAAATGATAAAAGCCTCCATCTACTGAAAAAACAACTCAGCACGTTGTATCTCGAAGTCTTCAGCATGCTCCGTGATGAGGAGGGAAAGCCTTACTCCCCTAGTGAGTACTCCTTGCAGCAGACAAGAGATGGGAATGTGTTCCTTGTCCCCAAAAGTAAGAAGCCAGATGTCAAGAAAAACTAGATTCGAGACAAGCTGGCCTTTTTTTCTGAGCTAGTTGTTTGGGGTGGTTTTTTGGTTGGTTTTTATTTTTGTACTGTTCTACTAAAAGCTCCTACTGTGATGTGAAATGCAGAAATACACATAAGCAATCCTATGCAAAATTTAGTCAAAACTAGTATAGAAAATAATATAAAACTTTAATTTTAAAAGCATTAAAAGAAGTTATCAGTATGCTGAATCAGTAGTTTTACTTTAACAGTAACTTTAATTTCTTAGGAAACAATTTGGGCTAGTTTCTGTATAAGTGTAAATACAGCAAAAATTTCTTATTTATACTGTTCTTATATCATTTGTTACATTCATAGATTTATATGATATGACATCTGGCTAAAAGCGAATTGTAAAACTAACCACTATGTACTTTTTTATAAATACTGTCTGTACAAAAAAAAAGGCATTTTTTATATTAAATTGTTTATTTCTCGCAAAAAAAATTTAGTTGAAAAGCTGGTACTAATAAAGGAATATGACTGTTATTTTTTGGAGTTTAATTTTATTTCACAATTTTTTAATGATACTAATACTACAATGGACACATTTAAATGTTCTACACTTTCATGATGTTTTCATTTCAAATAGGAAAGGCATTTTTCACTAAACTTCTGATGCCAGAGATTGGGATAGACAGACCAAGAAGATATTTAATCTCTTTAGACTCCAGCAGGCACATCTCAACCAAGGAACACACAGATCAATTGGTAGAGCTAAGTGGCTGCATGCCTGCTATGTGCGAGACATTGTCTAAGGCAGAGGACAAAATTGAAACCCTGTGCACCTGAAACTCGTCGAAGTCAGCAGACATCCTACCCTACTGCTTAGGCCGGAAAGGGAAGGCCCGGGAAGACAATAAGAAGGAAGCATTGCTGCTTAAGATAGGATAGTAGGGGCAGGGGTGTAGCTCGGAGGCAGAGTACAAGGGTCTGGGTTGAATCCCGAGCATCACAACAATGAAAAATCAATTTACTGTCTTGGTGAGGGAGAAATACTTGAGGTCATGGGAGACCCTTTCTGTTAGCAATAAAGAAAGAGCTACAGGAATTACTAACAGGATACAGGAAACCCAGAGGCCTATTTCAGAAAGAACAAGGACAATGCAGCTGAAAATGGAGGGGAATCAAAAGGTCGGGTGGGGTAGGGTAGGAGATGAGTGTGCTGCCATTAGTAAGCCTTCAGAAGGACTTCCTGTTTTCACCTGGTGGAGGGGGGAGTTATTGGAGGTATTAATTAGGCAGGATTAAGAGCTGACTTATTACTAAAGTTCCTGTTAGCACTTGTGTCGAGCAAAGCTTGGTGGTAAAAGTGGGAGCAGGGAAGCCAGTGAGGAGATACTTCAAGTATCAGCAGAACTATGGTCTGAGGCATTGCATCCTGCACCTTGCAAGGAAAGAAGTGAGCATTTTCTCAGAAAATGGACGTGGAGTAAAGATGACCCCAAAGACTGAGAACTGCAAGGCTGGAGAAATGGTGCAGCAGGTAAGCAGCTGACCTAGGTTCAATACCCAGCACCCTAGATGATCTCCCAAACCACGCCAGGAAGGATTCCTGAGAACAAAGCCAGGAGTAAGCCCTGAGCACTGGAGGCTGTGGGCCCCCTCCAAAGTTAAGAATTTAGAACATTGAGAACTAGCCACGTTATTCTTGCCTTCATGCAGTGAGTCCTGGTTTGATTTTTTGGCACCACATGATCTGAGCACTGCCAGGTGTGCCCAACCTCCCCATCCCTGCCCCCCAAACTAGCAAACTGATCACTCTGAGCCCAGGCAGGATGCAGTGTAGCTCAGTGTTGGGTCAACTTGCCTGATAAGCCCTGGGCTCAACTCCCCACAACTTTAAAGGAGAAGAGAAATGAGTTGCCCAGAGAGAAACAGGAGGTCTGTTTCTGTCAACTTGCCTGATAGCCCTGGGTTCAACTCCCCACAACTTTAAAGGAGAAGAGAAATGAGTTGCCCAGAGATAGAAACAGGAGTAGAAAGTTAAGGGGCGGAGTGATCGTACAGCAGGTAGGGCATTTGCTTTGCACGTGGCCGACCCGGGTTCAACCCCCACCATCCCATCATCCCACCATCCCCAAGCATCACCAGGAGTAATTCCTGGGTGCAGAGTCAGGAGTCAGCCCCTGGGTATGACCCAAAAAGCAATGCAAATTCACTTATTTTGTGGGGAGGGCCTCTCCCAAGCAGTGCTCAGCAGTCCAGTCCCTGCAATACTCAGCCTGTGTGGGCCTGACAATACAGAGCTGCTCAGGTCCACAGGTGCTGGAGACCCCAGGGCCCCCAAAGGATGCTGGTGGGTAGAGGTATATGCATGCTGGGTATCAAACTCCAGGCCTCACACGAGCCGTTTGCCTCTCCAGCTTCTCGGTTTACTTTACCTTTGGCAAGGAAGATGGGGAAGAGTTTAAAGAACCAGTGTTAAGGATCTCTCCCAGTACTGCTCAGGGGATCATGTGCCAGGGATCGAATCTGGGTCTCCGCATTCAAACGAACTCGGCCCTTTGAGCTCTTTGTCAGTTCACTTTTAGAAATGTGGTTACTTTGAAAAAAAAAATGGTTAGGGTCAGAGAAATAATACAAGCGGTAGGATGCTGGCTTTGCACACAGCCAACCAACCCATGTTCAATTCCTGGCACCATACATGGTGCCCTGGGCCCCACCAGGAGTGATCCCTGAACACAGGACCAGAGTTAAGCTCTGAGCACAGTTGGGTGCGGCCCAAAAGCAAACAAAAATTTGTGAGTAAAATTAAGGCCTTCGATATTCTCTGCAGATCTACATACTGCCCAATAACACATACTAATCAAATGTTTCTTGCTCATGTTTTGTTTGGAGAGGGGTTGGTGTTTCTCCTTGCAGATAGGTGCTGGGGCTGGAACCCAGGACCTCACAGAAGCAAGACCAGTGCTGTGGCAGCCTCCCCCGCCCTGTTCGGTTTGCTTTTAAGTGGAGAACTGGAGATTCACTTGAGAGATAAGCCTGTTCCTTATGTAACCATTTGCATGAGTCCAGCTGTAAATTATTCACTGAGTCCTGTCCCTTCACAAAGGGTGAAACAGTGCAGAGGCCCACAGGCCAGTCCTCCTGGGCTTGTCTTGCCACTTACCCAGAATGACCTCCAGTAACTCCGAGCACTCACACCTGCTTCCTCACCTGTAAAATGAAGGTGAATTATTCCACAAAACAAACTGGTCCGTGCCAACCTTGTAAGATGACTGCTGTAATAGGCATTTTCTCTTTTTCTTTAGCCTTGAATTAGGACTCCATGTGGTTGCAAGTGAAGGAAGCAAGTCATTAACAAACTTTCTCTCTCAGGGGACTAGAGAGATAATACAGTGAGTAGGACACATGCCCTGCATGCGACCAACCTGGGTTTGATCCCCAGCATTCCATATGTTCCCCTGAGTGCAGAGCCAGGAATAACCCTTGAGGATTGCCAGGTGTGGGCCAAGAAGAAAAAAACAAAAACTTGATTCGTACTGGATAGTACAGTGGGTCAAGACACTAGCCCTGCCCCTGCTGACCCAGGGTTTGATCCCCAGTGCCTCATTGGTTCCCTTAGACCCCACCAAGAATGATCTTGGAGTGCAGAGTCAGCATGAGCCCATCATCACCCCTCACAAAGGAGGGGGAAAAAATGTTTCAAAATCCTGTTGTGTGAGGTCCTGAGTTTAATTCCCAGTACTGCATTTTAAAAAGTTAAGGGGCCAGAGAAATGCATCCTGTTAAACCACTTGTCTTGCATACCATCCACCCAGGTTTGTTAGCTATACCACATGCTTCCCAAGCACCACTAGGAGTGACCCCTGAGCACCACAGGGTGTCACACCCCCTCCCACACCCAAAAAATAATCTGTTAATGGTATGGTTGAAAACGTATCTCTCACCTAATTTGCCTTCTCTAGCAATAATTTTTTCCCCCAGGGACAGAGATAGTAGAAGGATTATGGTATTTGCCTTACATGTAGCTGACCCCAGTTCGAATCCCTGGCACCACACAGGGTCCAGGGTCCGAGTCGGCCCCCTCCCCAAAATTTTCTACTTCAAGAATTCCTGTTTCATGAATAGTTTACAAATTGTTTATATACCCTTTTTACTTCTGCAATAGCAGGCAGCAAACCTAGGAAGGGTCTCACACGCAAGGCAGTGCTCTGCCACTGAGTTGCACCCCTACCCCTCTGCATAATAACCTGTACTTGCAGTTTTCAAGTAAAATCTTTTACCTATACAGCTTAAACCTTGTATCAAAAAAAAAAAAAAAAAAGATTCGACTGGAAAGCTCAGGGCTGAAAATAGCTTCAAAGGCATGATCTAGAACAGGGATTCCCAAGGAGGGTGATACCGCCCCCTGGGGGATAAAAGAAACTTGCCAGGGAGCAGCAGCAGTATTACTGGGTGCCAACTAGGGAGCACGTTAGAAAGGAATCTCATCCAGGGGGATGCTGAGTATTTTCTGAAAAGCATGGTAGCTCATATAAGTCTGAGGACCTCTTCCTGGTCTAGAGATTTAAATTCTGCTGGACACCTTTCTTCACTGCTCAGGGACTTCCTACAGTGTAAGTTTGGTCTTCTGTTCACAAATCACCTTGCTGGCTTGTCTTGACTATTAAAGTTTACATCACTGAACTGAGTTTCAGGGTTGGGGGTGGGAGATCAGGAGCAGGCACACACACTGGCAATGCTTGGGTTACCACGCAACGCCTGGGGCCAAAACCAGGGGTTCGAGCATACAGACCATGCACTCCAGCTCAATTTCTTGCTCTAATACGGGCTGAAGCAATAGCACAGTAAATAGGGCATTTGCCTTGCACGTAGCCGACCTGGGTTTCATTCCTCCGCCCCTCGGAGAGCCGGGCAAACTAGAGTATCCCGCCCACACAGCAAAGCCTGCAGTATTTACTATGCCTGAAACAGTAACAAGTCTCACAATGGAGATGCTACTGGTGTCTGCTAAACTGGAGGACAGTCCTACAGTGCAATACGCCCAACATGAGGATACAACTGAAATGGTCTAGTTTATGAAGGAAAGGTTAATCTCAAACTCGTGGTCTTGTGATCACAGAGGGCCTAGCATCGACAGGAGCTCCCCCCTGCTCTCCCAGTTTCACTAGGCATGGCTGGTGTGTCCAGGGGACCATCTATAATGTCAGGGACCATCTATAATGCAGACTTCCTGCATGCAAAGTCTGCACTCAATTCATAACTCTCTGGCCCTGGCCAAATGTATTTTTTAAGTATTTCCCACACCTGTATTTTAAGGTTTTTGTGTATTTACAGTAACTTTTGACAGTGCTAGGGACAGAACAGCTACACATCTCATGGTCCTCTGAGCACTGCCAATAGCAATCCCTGACCCAAAAATCTAAGGAAAATAGAAAATGAGGTTGCAAAAAGTATATAAAGAACTTGCCTTCTATGTAGCAGACCTGGTGTTCAAGTACTCTGGTAGCACTTGAGCAAGACATGTGGCCCAAAGCCTCATGCCACAAAATGCTTCTAGTATCTCAAGAGAATACTTATTTTCACTAATATGGGAAAATATTCAACTATTTCCTTCAGTAGTTTAAGCTAACTACAATGGAATACCTGTGTGCCTAAGGGCAAATCAGTTCTCAAGGTCAGAGATGTAGCTTAAGGCCCCTGCCCTCAACAAAGTTCTATTAATCAAAATATTAGCTGCTGCATCTTGATACCATTTACACACCACTATTCAAGATCATTATCCTTACCTAATGTCCTAAACACTTCAATATTTTCATATTAGACAGCTACCAGAAATTGAGCTCAAAGCCAGTAACTGGAGCCCGGGTTATACCTCAGAGCCAGAAGACATGCTTTTGCACGCCTAAGACCCAGATTCCAAGGCCAGAGCAACAGTACAGTGGGGTATTTCCCTTACACAGTTAAACTTGGTTTTAATCCTGTATGGGTGTGGCCCAAAAAACAAAAGTGAGACTCAGATTCCATAGGGAGACTCAAATACTAAACCATGAAGTAATCATCCTAAGCACTACTATGTGTGACCTCAAGAAATTACTTATTTTGGTAACTGCTTTCAACGTTCTATTCATGAAGGGTCTGTTCAACATCATTGAACTTGCAGTACCAGGGACGCTTGAGTCAGCTGACTGCAAGGCATGTGCCTCAATCTTTGCATTCCCTGGTACCAGCTCAAGACTTCTTTCAACCAACTGGAATATACAGGCTTACTCAATTTCCTGTGAAGGAACATTAACCTGTAGCACTTAAGCCACATTGCAAAGCAACAAAAAAAGACACACACATTTCTAAAAATATTTTAATGAAAATTTTCTTTCTGTAAACATTTCATTATACTACAAATGAAACATTTTCATCCATTACAGACCACCTCTTTGATCTTAATTAGAAAAAACCATTGAAATTTGAAGTTTGGATAGGCTAATACCCTTACATAACCCCTGCACAATAGCATGCTCATTCACTACTGGAACCCCATCAGCCATTAGACCTGTTTTAAATTGTGACATATGAACTCATAAAACCAGGCTTTCATTTCTCAAACGATCAGTAACAGGCATTTCTTTGAAAGTGTTAGCAATAATCCGGGTTGGTTTGACAGATCTTACCCATTTCCCCCTTTTTATATTAGCTTCCTTGGGTTTACTGGTGTGGATCTGATAAAACATGCTTTCAGAAATGACAGTGGAACTACATTTAAATGAAAAAAGAATCATTTATTTCATATATTATCTGGAAACAATGTTTTCCTTTAAAAAAAAGGCTATTAGAAACTTGCTTCAGTAAAACCTTGTTGTGTAAGGTTAAGGCTATTACCCTTTAACACTCTATTTTATGATGTGGCATTAACTACTCCCTTTCATAAGAAAAACTTGGCTTATAATCTACTAGAAACATTTTAAACTTATGTCCCCATCCCCAAAATGTTTTTTAAAAAATTTCATCAATTTTTAACAAGCCCTTTCGGGCAAATAGCCCTTGTGAATAACCAGCATGATCTGATTGAGTAATATTCTATTCCTTGAGGAAAAAAAAGACTTAAAATAGGTCTCTAATGCTTACAAGGGAACTATAACCTGAAAAATCCTTTTAGTCTGAATAACTGGATGTGAAAGAGAACTTGAGGCCTCTTAAAGACCGTTCTTGTATCTGTATCATCACAGCAATTTTGAGAGCCCATTTCTAGTTGTCCCCCCCCCCCCCAAATTTGGCTTCTTTCACTTATCAAAGAATGACCTTACTAAAGACACCAACAATGGAGTATATGGGGCCACATTTGACTCAAGATGAACACCTCATGGTTACTGCAGGGTAATTTTAACATGTTTATAAAGCGTTGATGTGGTTCCAAGGTGGTTTTTCAATGAATATTGCGAATGTACCTAATACTTAAAAAATCTAATATTTGTAGGTAAACAAATGGTGTCATCAGGTTTTATGTGAGCTACAAACCTTACCCAGCGAGAAACCTTCGTATTTAAGATGGTAGGAAAGACATTCCTCATTTAGGCAAGTAGGTTCTCATTCAACCTGCAAATCAAAAAGATTACTCTTACCTTGCTTTACAAAAAATTACTCTTTAATTAGTGAAAAAATTCAAATTCAATCCTTACCTAATGCTTATTGCCCTTCCTTGCAGGTCTAAATGCTAGACCTAGTGACTGTGGCAACTATCTCTCATTGAAGTTCCAAAAGGCGAGGCTCCTTCCTCCTAGACTTTCTTCGATATTTCAGATGTAATAAGCAGATTAACTAGCTTTTGGAAAGTTGCTTACTATCACCAAAGTATCTTATGCCTTCACTTTTCTGTAGTTGAAGCTCTTGCTGCTGCCTTGTCATTCTTTATTTATGCTGACTTGTCCATACTCAAAAGGCTGCTGAAGTCCTGTCTTAGGGAGTCTCCTTTGATCCACAATGTGCTTAGAAAGCACACCTTAGGTCCTTTAAAGCTGGTTAAATCGCTTTCCTCATGGCTTACTTTTCCACTGTTCACAAGGACTAAACTAATACAACTTATAAACAGGTCGCATACAGATTTCACCTGCTTATAGGTTGCAAACATCAACTTACTGAAAATGTTTTCACTATTAAACTAGTTCCAGAACATAGAAAGTTTGTTAACAGTACAATTAACTTCATATGTCATTAAAGGATACTGTCAAGGTTGTGTCAAACAATTTCACAAACATAGAAACAGGATATGTTTATCTCCCCCATCCCTTCAACCTTTATTATATGAATAAAAGAACCTGAGACAATTTAGCTCAATTTTAATAAAATGTTTCCCAAGCATTTTGACCAGGTAACCCAGGTTGAAGTTCTGAACATTGACAGTGTCCATTTATATACCACACTTGAAGTTGTTAAGGACTTAACCATTTTCTATTAGCCTATTTTCTACACTGCTTATTCACATACGTCCATTAACAAATGGAATGTTTTCTGTTACATTTATTGGTTTGTGAGTGTTTTCTGGAAAACTGCAGTTATCGGTGAAGACCAATTTCATGCTGGCATTGCATGCATTCAAATATTAATGCACAGAGGCACAGAATTAAGAGCAACAATAGAGCATATTCAAACACTAGCACGCCCCATTCCCCTTTTTTATTGCTTGTTTTTTTGCCCAGTACACTGCCTTAAAACAAAGAAATCTTGAAACCACATTTCAACTGCCGAAGAAGTTAACAGCAGGGCACATACTTAGGGCTTGGATGAAATTAAAAACACTAGCTGGCGCAAAATAGCAGACATCGGTGTTTATGTATTATGACCTTATTGTCTAATAACTTCTCAATCAGGTCCCAACAAATTAACTCATCAACATGATTCATGTTTAAGTATACACACAAGAGTAAGTGTTCTTTGGGAATCTGAATAAACTCATACTATCCAAATTTTAATGAAGTCTTTGGGAAGTGAGAAACTTGTATTAAGTGACTGTGCTACTTTTACACTGCATAAATAATCTGGGATAATTATACCTAGACTCTCCTCTTCACACAGTAAAATGTAGAAAGTACAAACACGAAAGTATGCCAGCCAGGTAAGGATTCAACAATGCATGATTTTTATTCTCTTGCTCTGAGAGCTTGTATCAAAAAAATATATATTAAACCAAGGAAAATAACTCAAGACTTATGGGCCTCTTGTGCTTTAAAAAGAAAAACAGAAGAGATAGCCACTAATTTGCTCAGATTTAGCAGGCCTAGTGTTCCTGTATTTTCAAAGTTTATAAGAATTTTTTTTTACCGGAGGAGGAAAGGAGAACATCCACTACCCCTTTCCAGAATTTAAACAGAGGGCAGTAGACATTTTTTTACACCCAAATAAAATCATGGCAGCAGTTAACATGTGACCAAGGTAAATGTAGAATGATGTTCTAAACAACAGCTAGGACTCTCAACACAACTAACACACTAAAATCATAGGATTACATTTTGAAAGAAAATGCACAAAAACCAAATAGGAATTTTGAGATTTTTTCATTTGAAGTTAAATCTTAATGCTATTAAATTCACAAATATGCTAATTTATATACCCAATTCTATTTATCTAAAACACACATTGCAAACATACAAATATCTATTCTCTCCACATGTCAGCGCCCATTCATTTCATGGTTTGGAAATGGGAGAATAGATTCCCCTTAAACTGCAAGTCAGCAGGTGTTTCTTTACAGTTAACTTTAGCAAAATTCATACAAAATAGTAATTAACAATGATCTTCTTTACTTGTTAACTTACAAGGAAACACCTCCAAAACTGCATTTTGTTAAAGTTTCTGTACTAAAATGTAGAAAAACTGAACTACACAAATATTGAAAAGTTAAAAATTCCTTAATTTTTTATTCCTGGTACCACTACCACAATTTACAGGGCAATATACCTGATGTAATGAAAAGAAAAAGAAAAAGACAAAGCTACAACAGATAAAAGACCTCAGGAATGTACATCTAATTGACACTACATTGCATTAATCAATAGCTGCACTTTTGCAAACTGTGGCTATGACAGTCCTGAACAAGAAGGGTTTCCTGTTTAAGCTGCAGTAACTTTTCTGACTATGGATCATCGCTCCTTCTGTGGCAGATTTTTACAGTTCCTCTAATGGATTTGGGACGACTGTCTCAAAGTAACCTGCAGCTTTCCTGACAACTCCTCGCTCTCTCTCCTGCTAAGAACTGTAGCCTGTTGAATAATACAGGATAAAAAAATTATTACACTCAGTGTAACAGTTTCACATATTCTTTATCATCATCAAAAAAATTTCAAGATACCTACCCTTTTCTGCTGAGTTTTTAGAACCTTCTGCTACCATAGCCACCACTTCCACCACCAGATCCGTAACCACCTGAAAACACACAAATTTGTAAAAAACTGTACCCATGCACTTCAAACTCACAAAACTATGGAAATCTGACGAATAAGACTTACCACCATAGGGACTGCCCGAGCTTCTTCCACCAAAACTGCCCCCTTTCATGGGTCCATAATTTGATTGCTGTTGTCCACTATAATTTCCAAAATCATTATAGTTCCCACCACCACCATAGTTACCTGAAATTACAAAAGGTTTCCTTTTGTGGTTGACCTGTGCAGTAATCATTTTTCCTTAGTATCTACCATTGTATTTTGAGTCACGGTAGCATTTCCTAAAACCTTTTGAAAAAGGGTCAAACCCAAATCACCAACTACCTGTAAGTGAATCTCACCTAGGTTGTTTACTGCAACCATTTGAAGAGACTTTAATACAGCTAAGTTCTCATTAACATGGACCTCTCCCAGCAGAGGTGCATGTTAATAGCCTCAGGCACAAGCAGAAGAGAAGTACTCCCTGGGGGCTTGTCAAAATCACCGCACTACTTTATATAAGGAGTTATTAACTTTAGCATATATTCCCACCTCTATACCACCAACACAAAAACTGCTTGATTCATTTTAGTTCAATTAGTAGTACAATTTGTATGAGCCAATTTTAAGATGCCCTAAACAGAGTATTAACTTTCTTAGGTTATCATATACTTATTAATCAAGTCCATCAAAACCCAGGACATTTACAGCAAGGCTCCTGACCTACACGACCAAAGAAAATGAGGTAGACCTGCTATACTTTGCAATGTATTATGCGAACATGGAAACTTCAAAATTATTTTCTTATCCGCACCCCTAGATGACACTAATGTGTGGAATTTAAAGTTCCCATCTGTCCCATATTAAAAAACACAGGGATGTGGGATGTGAATCAGCAGTCAAGTGTTGGCTGAGACCTGGCCCCATAACCCCGACATCACAAACACAAAAGACCTAAAGCAAAATTCTTAACACTGACGGGTAATTAAATCATATGTTGAACACAGCTTATCTATTAATGAATTTTACACTACCCACCAATTTTCTATTATAGAACCTAAGATTGGGGGGAAGGGGTGGGGTATACTTGTGCCATACCTGGCTCTGCACTCAGGTCCTGTGAGTGCTTGGGGAACCATAGAAAATATTAGATGCCAAGGATTGAACCTCTGGCTGCATGTAGGAAAAATGTACAACCTACCTAGAAGATGAGATCTGACTAAATATTTTTTAAAAACCTTTCAAAGGTAAAAAGACTAGAAAAAGACGATGAAGAAGCTTGCTTACCACCGCCAAAATTTCCTCCTTCATTGTAACCATCATATCCTCCACCACCTCCACCATATCCACCACCTTGGTTTCCATATCCTGGTCCTCCACCACCATAGCCTCCTCTACTACTATAACCAGGACCTCCGCCGTAGTTGCCACCTAAAAAGAATTGGATTACATACAAAAATTGAACATAAAGCACAATAAATGTCATGAAACAGAAGTATCACCTATTGAATCTTGAGTGAAAATGTCACCAAGAAAATGCAATTAAAAAGTATACAAAATGCAAGTTAAAAACTTACCATCACCTCCAAATCCATTATATCCACCATCACCTCCTCCATAACTACCTCTGCTGCCACCACCGCCACCACCATAACCCCCTGAAAGAAAGCAAAGCAGTTATTAAAATCACATACTCAACTCTCACCAGTAAATTTTACATATAGAAACATGCTAACTACCTTACCTCTCCCACCAAAGTTTCCACCACGGCCAAAGTTTCCTCCACCACCTCCAAAATTGCCTCCACGGCCCATAAAGTTGCCAGATCCACCTCCACGACCTAACACAGGTAAGGAAGATCTTTTTAGAATCTTCTAAACACAGCTCATATTTATTGGTTATAAATACATGGTGCTACTAACCTCTTTGCGATCCAGCAGACTGCATTTCTTGTTTAGAAAGGGCCTTTTTCACTTCACAATTATGCCCATTAATAGTGTGGTATTTCTGAACTAAATATTTTTTAATCAAACAAACAAACAAAAGTTATTTAATGTTTGGAAAAGCACAAGTAACTGTTATCCTTTATCACTAAGCAACTCATTAAAAAACCTCAGGTAGGCAGTCACTTTGGGGATGAAGGAATATTCTATGTTAGTAACATTTATATCTTGATCCAGATGCTGGCTACTCAGGTGTACTCACATTAATAAGCATATATTTCATATGCTATCATGTGAAAAAATGATACACAAAACTACATTAAGCAAAACCTTGCAAAATCATTTGTTTTCTCAAATTCCAATTGCTACTCACCAACAATTTTATCAACTGTATCATGATCATCAAAAGTCACAAAAGCAAATCCTCTCTTTTTCCCACTCTGCCTGTCTTCCATTACTTCTATGGTTTCAATTTTGCCATACTTTTCAAAGTAGTCTCTCAAATTATATTCCTCTGTGTCTTCTTTAATACCACCAACAAAAATTTTCTTCACTGTTAAATGGGCACCAGGCTTCACAGAATCCTGCAAATAAAGTCACTAAGTATTAAAAAAATCCAAGTTTTTACAATAGTTGCAGGTTACACGTGGTTCTAATATAATACCTCTCTAGAAACAGCTCTCTTTGGTTCCACTACACGCCCATCAACCTTATGTGGTCGAGCACACATAGCTGCATCCACCTCTTCAACACATGAGTAAGTCACAAAACCAAAGCCTCTGGAACGTTTTGTTTGGGGGTCTCTCATCACCTACAAAAAAAGAAATTCTAATTAAACCCCCCAACTTTACAGGTCCTCTTCCCCTATTTTTTTGTTCCTCTGGTAACTTACCACACAATCTGTAAGTGTGCCCCATTTCTCAAAATGTTCTCTTAAACTATCATCTGTAGTTTCAAAGCTCAAACCTCCAATAAACAGTTTTCTCAACTGCTCTGGTTCCTTTGGATCATGGCCCTGATGAAACAAAGCAATACAATCAAGTTATTTAGTAGGCAGACCACTTAAAACAGACTCACAAACCCACAAGCCTTTCCTTCCCTACAAAGCTACAAATAAAAACACCAAAATCCAGTACCATTACCTTTGTACAATTAAAAACTACAAATGAATCTCAAAACATCAGAACCAAAATCATACCAAGAAAACCTAGGAGTCTTCCAAATGTTGCCACTAGGATACATCTGGAGAAGGAAATCCAGAACGAAAAACCCTACAACTTTAGCCTACATCCACAAAGTATCTAGAGATACAGGAGTCTCTACTGAGCAGCATTTTCTGAGAAACCAAAGTATTGTTAACAGTCCTTCCATCCAAGTCACGTTTCAGGTCTTCCCTCCATTCTCAACAGTGCTGAATTTTAAACCACTAACAGCACATTTCCAAAGTTTCCAAAAACAATTTCAAAGAAATTAACTGGCCTTAAACAAATGGAGATTAAGATTCCTCAACAAAAGGCGCAGGCGAAGTGCAGGGGAGAAAAGCCGGGAGCTGGAAACCACATGGCTCCAGAACCACTGCCAAGAACGCGCCAATGCCCTACCCTAAGCACTGGCGGGTGTAGCCCCAACACACCTCCCACAAAAGCAGGTAAAATCGCGAGTTCAAAAGGTGTAGCTTAAACTGTGCTAAGACATACACCAACTGCCACTTCACGGGTGCATGAAGACTTCATTCACGTTTACAAATATCTCCCTGTCTTAAAACGGAGGTAGGGAGGCAAGAGCGTTTACAGGAAGACAAGTGGCTGAGAACCAAACGACTAACAGGCCAAAACACGATTTCACTCTGAGGTTTCTGAATCAGGGTTAAATGCAAACTGAGCAACACAGCAAAGTCGGCAGAAACAATCATAACGCACCAAAAAGTTACCTTCAACACACGCAAAACACGCGACTAGGGTTGCAACTCTCTGAAACAGCCAAGAACCGACAACGTGGGCGGGGGGGGAGGGGGGGAGTGTGAAATAACGTGGTGGAGAGCCATTAAGAAAACAGGGGAAGAAAAAGGACAAAAAAAAATTGGGGGGCCCTAAATTCAGTGCACAACTACACTGCAATCCTGGGAGCTTCCATCACCCCTCCCAAAGCACAAAACTTGAGCCAAAAAAATAAAAAATACTTTGGTCCCCCCAAAGCCCCACAAAAGATCAGCGAGGATTTTTTTTTTTAAATTTTTGAGCAGCAAAACTACAGCCTGCATTTTTTTCCCTCGTGTTATGCCTTAGGCGCTGCAAAAAGAAACAAAGACGGAATTAAATTCTCCTCGCCACGGTGGCTGGGGTTGGGGGGAGGGGGAAGCTAAAACGCGGCGGCGGAACTTGGGGCGGAATTCGGCGCGCGCCGAGCGAACCAGGCCCGATGCGGCATTTGCGGCCGGGGCCGCCTCCCGCCTCTCCCAATCCCGCGCTCTCCCCGCCCGCGACGCAGCGCGGCGGCGGCCATTGCGGGCCAATGCGCCATTTCGTAAGGCGGCAGCCGGATCCATGTCAATGTGGCCGCCGCCCGCCCGGCTCGCTCGCCCGGATGTGCCGCTCGTCCCCTCCCCTCCCCCAACGCCTCCTCCCCAACCGCTCCCGCCGAGGCCCGCCATGCCGCCCAAGGCCCCGGCGCCGAGGGCCGCCCCGCGGACCGCGGCGGACCGCCGGGGCCTCGAGGAGCCGCCGCCTGCGCAGCCCGAGGCGGCGGCTAGGCGGGCGAGGGGGCCCCGAGGCGGCCTTCGAGCCCCGCTCCCCTCCCCCCCCACCGCCGGCCTCAACGCAGAGCGCGGGACGGCCGCCCCAGTCCCCCCACCCGGCCGCCCCGCTCCCACCGAGCCAGGCCCACCCCTCCCACGCCGGCCACTACCCAGCAGCCCCCCACTCTCCCCCTAATACCTCCTCCCCCCGGCGGCGGCGGCGACGGCCGGAGTCGGGCTGGGGGCGACCGGGCGGCGGTTTTACCTCCATTTTGAGACCGGACTCGCCTCTTCCAACTCGAGTTCAATATGGGACCGAGAGGAAGAGGCGGGGCCAGCCGTCACGTGACGCGCTTTCCGCGCGCCGCCGGCCGGCCGCGGTGGGGCGGGGCACGCCGGGGAGGGGGCGTGGCCAAGTGGGCGCGAAGAGCGACTGGACGAGCGGGTTGGCGGGGAGGGCGGGGGGCGTGGCGGCCCGCGGGAGCGCGCGCCCCCCCCACTCCTCCACCCCCTCCCCGGCTTCCCACCAACTTCCCGGGCGGCACCGCCCTGGCCGCCGTTCGCGCCTGCGGGGACGTCATCTCCGGCTTGGCCAATGGCGAGCGCCCACGTCTGGAGGCCGCCTCGTGACCGCGCGCCCGCGGAGGTGGGGGGGGGGAAATGGGCCTTTCCCTTTCTTCTCCAGCTTCTCTCCCCTCCCCCCTCCGCCGGCGCCTGTCTTTCGTTCTCCATTTCCCCAGCCCATTCCTTCCAGGGCGCCCCCTCGCCGTCCCCGAATCAAAGTAAATCCCTCTTTGCACTCTAGGGTCGCGATTAAGCACTCTCTCCGCTTCTCTTGTAAACGCCCGACGGCAGTGGCCGCGGTTGCAACCTGCCCCCCTAGAGAGGGCCTCCCGCACTGCAGACCCCGCGGCTGCAGACGGACGGAAGTCGTGGGCCCGGGCCTGGCGAAGGCTTCACCTTCGCGGCCGCGCCGCTGGGGCTTTCACCGTCTCCCCTTTGGGGCTTGGCGGGGTGGCGGCCAGGGTGAAGCCCGGCGCTCTCCGCCCGGCCATGCGTGGTGGAGGCCGCGGGCCGATTCCGGCCCTGCAAAACCCAAACGGGGCCCAGGGCGGGGCGGGGCGGGTGCAGTCCTCAAAAAAAGAAGGTGTCCGCAGAAGATTTCCTGCTGCCGAGGCCCCCCACCCACTCCCCCCCCCAGTGCGGAGAGCGGGGCAAAGGCGTGATGTACAGGACCTCTCGGTGGGGTCGGCGGCCAGGTTGGCCCGGGATCCTTACTGTTTCCACTCGTGAAATCGGCGAACTGTTTTTTAGGAAACGGCAGGGAGAGAGATTGTCTATAAAGAGTGACAGGCTAGAGATCCCGCGTCCTTCTGGGTTTTTAAGTGATTTTGATCACGTTTTACTTTGGGGCCTTTTTATTTTGTATTACTCAGGGGGGACACCCCCCGCCCCGAACTCGGAGGGGTTAGTGGGGAATCTTACGCTGCCTAACCAGTTTAGGCACTGTGCCTAATCGCTCAGCCAAGCTAATTCTGCCTCTAAATTTAATTTTGGGTTGGGGGGGGGAGAGGCAACCTCGCCAGGCTCAGTTTCTTTCCGTCTTGGTGTGGGGGTGTGGTTCCTGACGGTGTTAGGGTGGGGGGAACGGAGGTGAGGATCAGACCATAAGCTGCCAGGGTTGGTGCAGGGTGAATACTCTCCAGCCTCAGTGTCTGTATTTTGTCTGTATTTTTAACGAAGTAATCAACCACGAGTACAGCTCCTTCGCAGTTAATCAAGCCCTTTAAGAAGCTAATGATTTATCATTGGAGGAGTGCTTTGGGCCGCACTAGTCGCTTGGGGTTTGAGACTGTGGGCTCTCCACTCTAGAAACCATGCGGTGCCAAGGGTCCTCTTTTGCAAGGCAGGCAAGCATCTCTGCTACCCAGTGCCCTGCATAGGTGAATGGAGGGGCTTGGGGGCCACACAGTGGTGCTCAGAGCTTACCCCCAGCTCTATACTCAGGTGTCACTCTAGGCAGTGCTGGGGTAGGAGGGATCAAAGCCCAGTTGGCTGAATACAATGCAAATGCCCTACCTGCTGCTCTGGCCCCACAACACCCACCTATTATTTTTTTGAGTCACACTGGGCTGTGCTCAGGGACTAATTCTGGCTCTTCGCTCAGAGGTTACTCCTGGCTTTGTGCTCAGGGGTTACTCCTGGGGAGGTGTGGGGGCTTGGGTAGCTATATGGGATGCCACGGGTGGAATCCAGGTCACCTGAACCCACATTAGCTGTGTGTGGGGTAAGCACTTGCCCAGCTAGGGCCCAACGCCCAACATTTTAATGAAGCAATCTGTATGAGTAGTTCTTGAGAGATGAATTCTTTTTTGCGGGGGTGGGGTGGGAGGAACACACCTGGCTGTGATGAGATTTACTCCTAGCTCTGTCGGCCATGGCTCAGGGGATCTCATGCTAGGCAAGTGCCCTACCTCCAGCTGGAAGGAAGGAGGCCTCTCTGGTTAAGATCAGCTCTTGCAGTTTTGTTTCAGATTGCTTGGAAAACTGTGTTTTTTGATAAAAGGAGCAATGGTCTGCTTGGGTATTGGGGGAAGAATTCGTTGATGGTAAGGGTAAAAATTTGTTGATGTTTATCTTGCATTGCCTAAGGGAAACAGGTGTTTTCTTTGGCTCACAAGAACAAAAGATTCTCTGTTCTTTAGGTCTTAATGCTAACCTGGATTGAAAAATAAAAAGGCACTTCCAAACTAATCTTCCCCGTTGCTCTGATTCAATTGTCACAAGTATTCTGCTAAGCAGGTATTCCCCATCGCTAACAACAGTAAAACTATACTTGAAACACTGGAAATTTTATCTAGTGTCTGTTTAATTTTTCCTCCCTTCACCACTCCCCATTTTAAAAAAAACTCTGAAATAGACCTGTTAAGTACTAAGTTATTTTGGGGATAAATCTTGCTATTGTGGAGAAGGTGGCATTTCCACCTCAGCCATAATAAACTAGAAATGTATGTCAAAACATCAAAGTTTTGTCAGTCTGACTTCTATGGAAAAGTTGTGGATCATTTAATTAAGTATGTAGAAATACCAAGTTAAATATGTTAGTGTAGCAGAAAAGGCCATTGTCTCAGTTACTTGCAGTGAGTGGCTGTGGTGAGTGGCCCAGAATTCCTCCATTCTCCTGGAAAATTGGCATCAGAAATTCAAAGTTGCAAAGTGAAAGTTTAAAGATAGTCAGCACTCCCACATGGGAGGGACATCAGAGATAGCCTAGAATGTTGTCAAGGGGGAGTTTTAGGTTCTCTTCATACTAACGCTAGCTTGGACCACGACCTAATGACCTAATGATGCTGTTTATCTGTTTATCTGTTAATCTCCCCAATGAATTAGGGTAGTCCAGCACCTTCAGGTTCTCTGACATATTTCATTGATCTGTGATGCTTCACTGATCATATTTTATGTTACCTAAACCTCATGGAAACCTCAGACGCTGCTAGTGACTCGAAGACATTAGAGTTTGTTGATTTCTTAGCAGGCAAGGATTGTTTATATTTTTTGGCTGAGGAAGGTTGTTGAGTCCCTGCTTTGGCCCACAAAGAACTGTAAACAGTATCTAAAGAGCCATTTCCAGAGTGAATTAGATTTTAAGGTAGCAAAGTGCTAGAGTCTGTGCAGGGGTTAAAATGGAGTGTCACCTGACAACTGACAAGGGGAAACAGTAAACTCTCATCAGGAAGGTGGAATTCTCACCAATGTACCCCATAAGATGCTGAAAAGCATGAAAAAGACTCACCTCCAGGCTCCATGTTAGGGCTTCCTTGTCTAGGTATTCTCTAACCAAGTTGCCCAATCAATGATTTTTGTTTTTTGAATTATATCAAATTCTCATATTAATTTTAGAAATGATAGGGGAAGGGTCAGGAAGTACCACCCTTCAAGAATCAGGTACAGGAAAGAAAGATGGCGGCCGCACGGGAGCCTTGTGGAAAGCGGGTTTGAGCCGGGCTCGGGGAAGCGGCGGGGACCTCATGGGAAGGGGGGCTTTGTGGGCCGTCCCCCACGCCCCACCGAGGTCGCCAGCTGCCCCCCACGAGCGGCTCTCCGGCACGGCCACGGCCCCGGAGGCACAAGGACTTAGCACAGAGAACCAGCCGCTTGGAGCAGAAAAGCAAATGGACTTGTGTTGATCCGCGCCACCAAGCCTGCCCGGAGGGGGAAGGGCGTTGACCAGCCCGCCCGCTCCTCTCTGGAAAGAAAGATGGCGGCCGCACGGGAGCCTTGTGGAAAGCGGGTTTGAGCCGGGCTCGGGGAAGCGGCGGGGACCGCATGGGAAGGGGGGCTTTGTGGGCCGTCCCCCACGCCCCACCGAGGTCGCCAGCTGCCCCCCACGAGCGGCTCTCCGGCACGGCCACGGCCCCGGAGGCACAAGGACTTAGCACAGAGAACCAGCCGCTTGGAGCAGAAAAGCAAATGGACTTGTGTTGATCCGCGCCACCAAGCCTGCCCGGAGGGGGAAGGGCGTTGACCAGCCCGCCCGCTCCTCTCTGGAAAGAAAGATGGCGGCCGCATGGGAGCCTTGTGGAAAGCGGGTTTGAGCCGGGCTCGGGGAAGCGGCGGGGACCGCATGGGAAGGGGGGCTTTGTGGGCCGTCCCCCACGCCCCACCGAGGTCGCCAGCTGCCCCCCACGAGCGGCTCTCCGGCACGGCCACGGCCCCGGAGGCACAAGGACTTAGCACAGAGAACCAGCCGCTTGGAGCAGAAAAGCAAATGGACTTGTGTTGATCCGCGCCACCAAGCCTGCCCGGAGGGGGAAGGGCGTTGACCGGCCCGCCCGCTCCTCTCTGGAAAGAAAGATGGCGGCCGCACGGGAGCCTTGTGGAAAGCGGGTTTGAGCCGGGCTCGGGGAAGCGGCGGGGACCTCATGGGAAGGGGGGCTTTGTGGGCCGTCCCCCACGCCCCACCGAGGTCGCCAGCTGCCCCCCACGAGCGGCTCTCCGGCACGGCCACGACTCCAGGGCACAGAAATCAATCTCTTAACTAGCTAACTTTTAATAGAAATTCTTCCAGGGTCAATAAGTAAAATAGCAGAAATTCAAAACCGCACGGCCGCTATCGCGGCCGCGTGACATCATTTTATTCTTAAACCAAGTTGTAGAAAGCAAATCATTTCACAACGCTGTTTCAGCATGTCTGATTGGGGGGGGGGGGGGGGGTCGGTCGTAAACTCTAAACAATAATTGTGCATCTTCTATTGAAATAATCTATCTAGTCAAAGTAGATAGAGTATTAACTAGAACTCATCTGCCTCATAAGAATTGGGAGGGGTGGGAGGTGGGGGTCTATTGGGGTTCG